TTGCCGGCGAAACGACTTCGAGGAACACACAAGACAGGGAGTTGAAATTTAACGCGGATCTTCTCTGACCTTGTCTGAGCGCAAGATTTCAAAGCCTCCCAAATTATTCCAGGTTATTTGCAGTATCGACAGTGCTACTTTGCTGGTGGGGATGATTATCCCAGATGGTTTTTTAGCTGAAATGAATTCAGACTGAAGTCAGTGGAACCGATAGGATAATCTAATTGTTTTGCATATCAAAGTGCGGCGAGTCAACCGATGAGTCAAAAATGAGTCAAACGCGTTGCGTACTTTCGAAGCCAAAATGCAGTCATTCTTCACTTCAACAGAATCATGTGTTTTTTATGATTCCAGTGAGTCATTTGTTTTTGTGAACTATTTCGGGAAACACTATCAAGGGAACGTACTGTGCAGACTGTCACCGTTTTTATCCTGAATTACGTTGCTAGGATTCGTATGGCGACAATTATTCAGTACTATCAAATTTCACATAAACATTTTGGAGGCCACAGTACAAATATCGTTGAATGTAGTTTTTGGAGTTCACAAACAAAATGTGTTGGGTCGGGGTGGATTGTATCATTTGGACTACATCCTGTGTTTCGGAAAAAACTTCGTAAGTAGTCCTGATTTCGCACTTCACATTTAATAAATAACGGTACGCACCAGGGTAGCCGGTGCGGTCGTGCATTTTTGTGCAGTTCCATCCAGTGGACATTTTTCTATTAAGAATTTTCACTGTTTTACACTTTGATGTGTGCGAAAAAAAAAGCCAATTTGTTGTGTTCCTAAACTGCAAAATTTCCTACTGAAAATTTCATGCACTGACACGTGAAACGTAAGCGAACATCAAAACAGAACTTGAAAATTTTGGATCGCACATAGGCAGGCAACATCCTTCAAAAATTTCAGCTTCATATTTTTTTGGCTTTCGAGTAACTTTCGCACCGGAACTGTTACTTGGTCGCGCGTCAGCCTAGGTGAACGTTGGAGCTAAACTAGAGTTTGTGAGGTATGTGAGGTCCCTGCAGAGGCAGAAAACGTCCTCTTGAAATCTCGGCTTCTAACTCTTCAGGTTCCCAAGTTAGCAAATTTTCCCGCATAGACTTTCATGTGACCGTACTTGACGCCTAGGCGTATGTGAGAGTTGACTTTGAATTTGTGGGCCGGACGAGGAACATTTTCCTAAAATTTCAGCCTCCTAGCTTTGTGTTTTTCGAGTTGAAAAGTGCGGTCAAAATGCACTCAGACTAAGTAAGCCGTTTCTGCTGGCGCACACTGCAGACTTAGTAGAAGCTAAAGCCTTTTCCGTACTGCATTTTCTTGGAGAAGCTGGGTTCCTCGGAAGTGGCATGAACAACAGCACTTTGCAAAT